TGTGGCCTCTTGTGGCCTCCTGGGGCCTCCTGGGGCCTCCTGCAGCATCCTGGAGCCTCCTGAGGCCTTCTGGAGCTTCCTGGGCCCTCCTGGAGCCTCTTGGGGCATCCTGTGGCCTCTAGAATCTTCCTGTGGCCTTCTGATGCCTCCTGGGACCTCCTGTTGCCTCCTGGCGCCTCCTGGAGCCTCCTGTGGCACCCTGGGGAGGATCCGTGCCCACGAGTCTGGCCACCAAAACAGGCAAATCGATCGAGACTTCCTCAAAATCTGGCCCCACTTGGGGGCGAAAATGAGCGCCTCGCTCAAGACACCCTCCCCAAATCTGCTCCGAAGCGGAGGATGTTGAGCCACAAACAAAGCAAACCGCTCGAGGCATCCCCGCGATCTTGGTGCGAACGAAGGAGCGAGATACCCCCGGACGGCTTCCCCGTGGGGGAGCTGAAACCCGCGCCTCGCTCGAGACATTTTCAGAAGTTGCTCCGCCAGCATCATCATCATCATCATCATCATCATCATCATCATCATCATCATCATCATCAGCATCATCATCATGATCATCATCAGCATCATCATCATCAGCAGCAGCATCAGCAGCAGAAGCAGCAGAAGCAGCAGCAACATCAGCATCAGCATCATCATCATCAACATCATCCCCACCACCATCATCACATAAGAAAATATCATATAATAGCATAGCATACCATAGCATTACATTAACATCGCCCAAACGATTATCACATCATAAATCATAGCATAACATACCATTGCGCGCCATCACATAGTATAGCGTTGTATGTCATATCATAGCATAACATGGTATAGCATAACATGACATGTCATAGCATAACACAACATGTAATCTAATATCGTCACAGGTCACAAGCCATCACATAGCAGAACATGGCACTACGTAACATAGCATAGTATACCATAACATAGCATAACATCGTAAACCATACCATACCACGATGTTGTATAACAGATCATAACATAACACGAGGACGAGGAGGAGGGAGGGGTGTGTGAGAGGCAGTTGGCGCGGGTTCAGTAATAACAAAAAACCCATCCTCTGGATGTGGAATGACAAGAACCCCATTGTTTGGAGATGGGGGACCACAAAAAGGAGAAGGACGAGGAGGATTAGCAGTGGATCGGCAGCCCTCGGATTAGCTGCTCAAAAGGCTTGCATGACGAGGAGGAGTGGAGGACCTCCCCTCCTCCACCCTCTTTGAGGGTCCATCCTGGCCAATGTTTCGAAATGCGTCCAGCCGTGGCTTTATGAGCCTCCGAAAAGGCCCACGAGCTCCGAAACGACTGTCAACAACGACATCGCCCACGGAACGGCGACGACGACGATGACGAAGACGGTAGGAAACCGGTGACGTAAAATCTGCTCCAGACCCCATCATGACGTCCATGCTTTTCAGGATACATATCTGACGGTCCTGGGGTCCGCAACTGGCCTCCTGAGACCGACAGCGTCAGAAGACATTTCCGAACCGCGACGGCGGCGACGACGACGGCGACGTCGACGGCGACGACGACAGCGACGACGGCGACAGCGACGACCACGACAACGGCGACGGCGACGGCGACGGCGGCGGCGGCGACGGCGATGAAAGACAGCCGGCCGCCCCAGCCTGTCGAGCGCTGCTGGCCCAGCCGAGCGGCAGGGAGGATGCCGTGGCGGAGGCCGCCGCTGCCGCAGCGGCCGCCGTGCCCGCCGCCAGCGCCGCGGAGTCTGGGCCCGCCAGCCGTCGTCGTCGTCGTCGTCGTCGTCGTCGTCGTCGTCGTCGTCGTCGTCGTCGTCGTCATCGTCGTCATTGTCGTCGTCGTCGTCCCCTGAACAGGTACAGGGGTCGACCAGGGTCGCCGTCGTCGTCGGTCAGTATCGGCGGCGGCATCGTCGTCACCAGTCGTGTCATCCCAGTCGCCGTCGTTGTCGCTGTCCTCGCTGTCGCCGTTGTCGTTCACACCTTCACCGTCAACATCGTCGTCCTCGCGCTTGTCCTCCTGTTATTCCTCCTCGTCCTCCTCCTCCTGCTTCTCTTCTTCCTCCTGCTTATCCTCCTCCTCCTCCTCCTCCTCCTCCTCCTCCTCATCCTCCTCTTCCTCTTCCTCTTCCTCCTCTCTGTGTTTTGCTCATCTGGCTCCTCCTCATCCCCCTCCTCCTCGTTCTCATCCTGGTGCACATCCTCGGTGTTTTGCTCTCGGCCTCACTCTTGGGCCGTCTCAGGCCGTCTTGGGGCAATCTTGGGGGCCTCTCAGACCGTCTTGGACGCTGCTGAGACCAAAGAAGCGAACATGCTGAACAAAACCGATTGGGACCACTTCTGCCTCTTGCCACGCCTGGACAATGTTTGCCTCTCGGGCCGTCTCGAGGCCATCTTGGGCCGGCCTGGAGCTGTCTGGAAGCCACCCTGGGCCGTCCCGTCTTGGACTCCCTTGGAACTTACTTAAGTCACTTGAAGGCTCATGGAGGGCTCGAGGAAGCGCTGGGGAGGTTCCAGCAGAGATGCACAGGGAAGACGTACAGTGGTCCGGGTGCCCTTGGCAGTCTTCGGCCGGGGGGCTGTTTCTCATACAGTGAAGGCCAGTCCACACGAAACGCTCCACAAGAAACCCGACCCTGAGACCCCAGGATGTCCATTGATTTTTGGTGCGAGAGTCACGCTCTCCACTTCGAAACCATCGAAACCCAAGACACCCAGGGCATCCTGGAGGCAAGCAGAATGTTTCTTGGTATGAGCCTCCACTGTACACCATCGCGCGCGCTTCGCGCGCGCTGAAGTTCTACTTGCCATGGGGCCAAACGTATTGCGCGCCAGAGGGGCCATGTCCAGACGATTGGGCGCTTGGCTTGGAAGCCGACGCATGGGCGTCTGAAGTCGCATTGGGGCTTGGTACTCGGGGCAGCCCTGGGGCATCCTTTGGCAACACTGGAGCTCTCTTGGGGACCTTCTGAGGCTCCGAGGCCGTCTTGGAGCCACACTTTGTCAAAAAGATGGAGTTCCACAGAATCTGTTCGGGCAAGAACGGGAAGCGCCGATGTTGTCCAGTGGGCCCGTACGGGGAAAAGAAGAAAAGGATAATGGCGACAGCAAGGCGGCGGATGTCGAGGACGGCAGCGTGGATGACGGGGAGGGCAGTGAGGGGAGCGGAACGACAACGAGGAGGAGCACAAGCACGAGGACGAGGAGGAGATGGAGGAGGACGAGCACGAGGAGGAACGAAGCGGAGGAGGAGGAGAAGGAGGAGGAGGAGGAGCAGGAGGAGGGGGAGGAGGAGGAGGAGGAGGACGACGACGACGACGAAGAAGAACGGTAAGGAGCCCGACGAGAAGGACGTCGAGGAAGAGAGGGGACCCTGGGGCTATCTTGGGACATAATGGGGGCCTCTTGGGGGCCTCATGCGGGCCTGTCGGGGTCCTCTTGGGGGCTACTGGGGTCTTCTTGGGCTGTCTGGGGGGCCTCTTCGGGCGCTCTTGGGGGCCTCTGGGTGCCTCTTGGGGGCCCCTCGAGGCGCTTTTGAGTTCCCCTGGGAGTCCTTTGTGAGCTCTCTTGAGTCGTTTTGAAGCCCTCTGGGAACGATTCCAAGATAATGAATGCTGGTTCGGAGCCCTCTCCGGAGCCAATTTGCCGAGGAGTTCTCTAGCGAAACGGCCAGTTTCCTGGAACTTTCCCTGACATGAACGGGAAGCGCGTGAAATCGAACATCATGGCAGTAACATGCACCAGAAGTGAGATCAACTATGACATACGCGCTCTTCCCGAATGTCCACACGGAGCACGAGGTGGAATTCAATACCCGAGCAAGTTTACATGCGGCGCTGAATTGGCGCACATAATAAGTTCGCCATTTCAAGGTGAGCATGACACCTCCAACACCTCGCAAAAAAAGGTGCAACGCCATCGATATTAACTGCCTCCTCTTCCTCCCTCACGTGTTCCCCGAAGGGCTTCCGCAACGGCTGGGGGAACACATGGTCCAATAGAGTGGCCAAACTTTACCCAAACGTCCTAAAAGGCAGGGGGCGGCGGTGATTCACCGTAGGCGTCTTCAATAATGTAATACCCATAAGACATCCTTAGATTTTGATATGTTTCGACCTCTTGGAATTCTTGTGTGGGCACTCTGGCGGCCTCTTGCGGCAGTCTTGGGGCCTCATTGAAGTGCTGGGGGCCTCCTGGGCGAATCCAGGGGCCTCTTGGGACCGTTTAGGGGGCCCTCTTGGACTTTTCAGGGCTCCTCCGAAGCCGTCGTCGGCTCTCGTGGAGCGGGGCAGTCTTGAGCCATATTGAGGCAATATTGGAGTTCCCTTGGAGACTTGCGGGGGCTCCGAAGCCACCTTGGAGATACATTTCGTCAACATGTCAAAACTGAAACAAAACAAAAAACGTCGTTGGTTTTGACGGATTGAGCCCCGTGGAAGTCCTGTGGGCACTCCAGCCGCCTCCGCAAACCCTCTTGGGCCCTCTTGGGTCTACGGCTCCTCTGAAGCCGTCGCCGAATCTCGTGAAGTGGGGCAGTCCTGGGCCATCTTGGGTCAATATGGGAAATCTCTTGGAAACCTCCTGTGGCTCCGACGCCGCCTTCGAACTACATTTCGAACTCCAGAACATGAAGAAGGATCTTAATTGATCTAGCCACATGGAATTCCTGCGTGGGCAGTCCGGCGGCCTCTTGGGGCCGTCTAAGGCTCATCCGCCACGGTCGTCGGCTTTCGTCGAGCGGGGCGGTCCTGGTCCATCTTGGGACAGTACTCGGGTTCCTTTGGAAACCTTTTGGGGTGCCGAGGCCATCTTGGAGCCATATGTTGTCAACATGTGAGACCCCCAGATGATGATGGAGAAAAGCGGTTGGAAAGCCCAGCGTTTTAAAACTGATTTGACACTTCGGAGGTCCTCTGTGTATTACAGCGGCCTGATTGGGCCGTCTTCGGACTTACCTGTAGCGACGAGAACGGTCTGGGGAAGCCCAGGGGCCTAGTGGAACTCCTTTTTTTTTCTTTCTCCAATCCATTACGACGCCGCCATGACTGTGCTCCTGGCAAGTCCCAAGAGAAAAAAAGCTGCGCGACGTACTCGAATGGACCGAGCCTGCAAGCTGCACGACGGCCTGTCTTGCGCCCGCCACTGCCCGGCTCTCGTCTGTGACAAAAGGAGTGGCAACGCTGCCCCTGTGCTTCTACGTCTTCCAGCCCCCCCACACTGCCTGCCAATGCCTCCCAGCTCACTCCGGAACGTACACGTACGGGGCGGCAGGTGCGCCTTCCTCCCACGCGCGCCCTCCCGCGCGCCGCTTCTGCGCGACGACGGCGGCGGCCGCCGCGGCCAGCAGCGCGGCGACGAGGGCGACGGGGAACGTCCAGCTGCCGCTGGGCGGCTCCTCCTGGGCCCTGCCTTGCGCGCCCCGCTCTCGGTCCAACGATGCCACGGTCGGCGCCCCGCGCGACTGGCAGCCGCCGTCCCTGGCGCAGTAGCCCCCCGGGCACCGGCACCGGTGGGTCTGCAGGTCGCAGTACGCTCCGCGCGTCCTGTCGCACCAGAGGACAGAACATGTGCCCGGCGTCTCGGGCTCGCAGTGCGGGGGCGGGGACGCTGGCGGGATGTCTAGGCCGGTCGGCGCACAGCCCTTCTTGGACAGGTATCGATCGTACTCGGCACTGACCAGTGCGACCAGGTCATCCCATGCCACCGCACGCAGCTCCTCACTCGTCGGCGATGCCTGCCACGCACCGAAGGTCAAGTTGTAAGTTCGCTCTTTATCATGGACCTTGTCATCGGCATCGAGGAGGGCATCCTTGCAAAACGAAGCATGCTTGATTGCCTCCTGGAGTTCGGTGTACTCGTGCTGCGTCGCGCTGACGCTGAGGTTCAGGGAGGCGTTCCTGGACTCGAGAGACTCCACGACGTGCTCCTGAGCCTCTATCGACTCGCTCATCCTCTGGAGTTCGAGCCTCTTGGGGGCACTTGCATTGCGCTCCTTCTCGAGGGTATCCTCATCACCCCTGAGTGTAGCGTCGGCTGCGTTGACAGCCTGGTGTGCCTTCTTCTGCTGAACCCCACGCTTCCGGACCATCTCCTCGGCCTTGTCATGGGCTGTGGCCTTGGCAATCCTGCTGCCCTCTGCGTGCCTCAGCGCGTCTTTTGCAGCCTTGAGCTCCGTGGCCTTGTCGTCCGCCTCGCTGTGCGCTGCGAGGACATCAGGAGATCCGACCTTCTCTGGGTTGGAAAGGAGCTGGACCAGGTAGTCGTTCGCCTTCTGCAGGGCTGCCTCTGCAGTCTGCACGTCCGCGCGCCTGGCGGCGACGTCTTGCTCCGCAGCCTCCAGGGCCTTCTCCGCCTGCTTCTCCTCCGCGGAGGCGCTGCGTGCCTCCGCAGCGGAGCTGGTCAGAGCCGTCTCTGCCTCTTGACGATCTTCTTTGTCCTTCTCTACCCGCTGTTTCTGCTCCTGAAGCTCTGCGAACGCGCCCGCATTGTATCTCGATAGCTTGTCACGCTCTCCCTTCATGATCTTCAGGACGGTACCGTTCCCGTCCAAGAAGGCACTCGTCTCTTTCGAAGAATTCAGAAGCGCATCGAGCCTTGAGAGCTTGGCATCCGACCTCTGCATATCCGACTGAATTTCCCTGCTTTCATTTCTTGAAGTCCACTGCGCTGTGCCCGAGGCGCCCGAGAGAGAGAGCACTAGAGCAGCAACTCTCATCGGGCCGAACGGTAGCTCCAAGCTGGCAGGAGGGGACAGAGGTCGATCAGCGTGATCAGGGGCTGCTGTCTTGAGCCACAAATCTTGAGCCAGAACGGCTACGGAGGCCTAGCGGTACTCTTTTGGGGGGCCTCTTTGGAACTGCTGCGCAAATCTGGGAGTCTCCCGGGGAGAGCCGGCGGGCTGAGGCCCAAGGAGGTTCCAGAACAGAAAAAGGCCACTTAAGGGACACTGGGTACCCGTGGTGTGCTGCGGCCAAGATTTCCTGTGTACGGGAAAATCTGATGCACATGTGCACATCTGTGTAAGTACCCAGCTTACAGGGCCACGAGCGCGCTGTGGGCGCGTTTGGGTCTAGTCAATTCCAAAGACCTCATCTTCATTATAATCCTCACTCATCTTAGTTATCCTCATCTACTTCCCATGCGGTCGTCGACGTCGTCAGCGTCGTCGGCGTCGGCATCGCGGTCGCGGGATGGGGAGCCGTAGGGAGAGAAGCAGAGGTGAGGGAGGGAGGTAGGGATGGAGGGAAGCAGGGAGACAGGAGAAGCAAAGAGGGAGGGAACGAGAATATGAGCGAGGGATGGATCAGCGAATAAGTAGGGTCCACCCTTCCTTCCGTATCCTCCGCGTCCTCATGGATGTCCTCCTCCTCCTCCTCCTCTTCCTCCTTCTCCTCCTCCTAGAGGCTCACATTGCGAACGGGAAGGTCACACCAATGCACTTCACTGATCTTACGCTGGTCATAACACCCACGATCTGGTCACCTGTGGGCCTGTAGTACAGGAAGGGCTGGAGGCCCGTATCTCGACGGGGACCAACTTGCCACGATGCTTGGCTCGGCCATTGTCCAACCCCGCGAACGCCCTCTCGCCTCAGGCCGAAGGCCGGAGGCGCACAGACGCGAGCGTCGGCACCTGGCCGTCAGAGCACGCACAGGCTCCACAAGACGCACAAACTCCCTGCACAAAAACGTCGGCACTGGCCCACCTCCGAAGCCAGCGACACTCATCAACAACATGCACACGTTCCCTGCCAGGCTTCGGGGTGGGGCGGGAAGAGGCGCTAGCGGCGGCACGGGTGCCAGCAGCAGCAGCAGCTTGCCGTGTCTGGCCCCCCACACACGGCGGGCCTCTGCCAACTGCGCCTTGGACAACCTCTCCGTGTCCTGCGCGGCCACAGCTCCTGCCGATCCTACATGAAGCGCGACGGCCTGCACGAGCTCCTGCGCTCCCCGACAGCGGTCGCGATGGCCGATAATCAGCCCTCCAGCTGCCAGCAAACTCTTTGAAAAAATAGTGCGACGCTGCTCTGGGGTGGCATGGGCTCTGACCATGACAACCGCGAACACCCCCGACTCAAGATCACCCCAAATCCTCGACGCGGGCCCACACCAGCTCGCAGGGATCAGCATGGGCGGCTTCGGGGTCAACGCAAGAGACGCGTCCTCGAACATTGACACCTTCGGAAACAAATCCGCTGTCTGTGTGGCAGACCACAAGAAGCGGACCGTTGCTCAAAAACTGGAGTAGCGCCATCAACTCAGCACGGTCGATGCACTGCACTGGGCCCTCGAGACCTCCTGCCAGGACTGCAGCCACCTGAAAATCTCTAGCGGCTGCAGGCGGCGGTGGCGCGGGGAGCAGCGCAATTACTGTCCATGCCGCCACTCTCGCCCATGCAATATCGTGGTCAAACCTGGACCCGTCCAACAAGGGGTTGCCCGCTAGGGCCTCAGACGTCCAACGTATCATTTTGCGGGAAACGGGTGAAAAGAATGAGCACGCGACTGCCCAGAAGCTCGATCAGAACAGAGGGTTCCTGAGGCACGCCTCCCAAGAGTTCCTTCAGGAGCCTTCCCCGCCGAAACCAGACCTCCACATAACATGTGCCTGTTGCACAGGGTTCCAGGGAAATCCTTACAAACTTCGCCGACGCTCTCAACAGCAAGGCCAACCCAAAAAAGACGTCGCTGCGCCCGCTGCCCTTCTACAAGAGCTGATCTGAGGCAAGCCTTCTCGTAAGGTTGTGGATGCCATGACACTGGACACTCTAACAATCCGACCATTGATTTAAAGATGTGCTAAACTGTGTTTCAAAAAAAATGTTCTAACATTGTTTCAAACATATGTTTAACATATTTCACACAAAAAATGATACATATTTTCGACATCGGGAAATTATTTGGCAGCGCGCTTCCTCTCCATTAATAGACTTCCACAATCGTAAGGAGCGAGGGGGGACAGGCGCTCGAGGAGGGAGGGGACGGGCTCGATCGGGCACCCCCGCGCCAACTCTGGTCGGCTGAAGATCTCACCAGCTCGCGTCCATTGCCAAGTCTCGCAGGCTTGGCCGAGCACCCACCGACCTGAGCGCCGGCAAGGCTGAGCGGTGTCAACCTGCAGGTCCCAGGCAGACGCCCACTTGGAGACGCCTTCAGCTTCAACCTGAAGCCTCAGGAGCGTGGCCGCGCAGGCCGAAAATAGTCCGGAGACTTTCTGCCAGGGCGTGCCTCTGCTGTTGCAAGCGCGCTCACGCGCGTGACTGAGACGTTGACTGATGACGTGCTGCGGGGTCCAGCCTTGCTGCCACGCAGCTATGGTTGCACAGACTGGCTCTGATGTGGGGCCTAAACCAAATCGCTTCCCTGGGCTCGCGATGAAACGGAGGGTGAGGGGGGACGAAGAGGTGGAGCTTTGATTGGTAACCAGTCGCCTTAACCCGCGCAACTGCTGGTCATTCGTGCAAGTGGTGTCCTTACCATACCCGCTGGTATCAACTGTGGCTTTGGCATTACAGTGACCACCTTGCGGCGCTTAGTCGCTTCTTCAAAACCTTGACGCGGCGACCTGGCACAATCGCGGCGGTGGGCCGATCAAGCTTCGTACCCCTCCCCACGTCCCGACCCGAACTCCACCCCCAGGTTCCTCTCGGCACGAACGGGGCAACCACCAGCGCAGCTCAGACTGGTGGAGGGGCTCTCCCTGACCCCTGCTGCGCTCAGAAGACACCGGGCCAGACTTCTGGGTGGGAAAAAACGATGTGCTTGGCCAAGCTGGGGCCACGGCTTCTCCAGCCTTGGCCAGCGCTCCCAAGACGTCCTCCTCAGCACCGAGAAGGCTGCACGCCGACGTCGTCCACGACCGCGGACAAGGCGGCCGAGGGCTCAGCCCGGTCGAGCGGCGCCCCTCGGCCCGAGGAGGGCGGGCTGCAGCACCACGGTAACGGGCACGCAGCCGGGGAGCACGCGCTGCTCAGAGTGCACCTCCTCCTCCTCCTCCTCCTCCTCCTCCTCCTCCTCCTCCTCCTCCTCCTCCTCCTCCTCCTCCCTCCCTCCCTCCCTCCCTCCTCCCTCCCTCCCTCCCTCCCTCCCTCCCTCCCTCCCTCCCTCCTCCCTCCTCCCTCCCTCCCTCCCTCCCTCCCTCCCCTCCCTCCCTCCTCCCTCCTCCCTCCTCCCTCCTCCCTCCTGCATCTGTGCCAAAGCCCAGGACGCGAGGTTGCCCACGCAGCGGGCAGCGGGCAGGAGAGGTCGGGCGCAGCGGAGGTCCCGTGCCCCTGCCCGCCCCGGGGGCGGTGCCGCACCGCTTCCGGGGGCTTTCTCTCCATGCCGGCTGAGACGCTGCCCGAGACGGGTCCCTGGTTGCGAGCCCACCTCGGCCCAGGCGGCACGCACCCGGACACGCTGGCGCGCAGCTTCGCCAGGCGTGCCCCAGGCGGAACGTCCGTAGCCGCGGCGCCGCAGGTCGCGAGTCCCGATTTCCTCACACGACAGAGAGCGCGAGCCAACACGCGCAGGGAGGCGATGCGCCGACAGCCACCTGGCCTGATGACCCAGAAAAATGTTCGCCCGCATCGTTCGCCACGCAGGCCGCAGCACAGTATGATGCATGAGCTCGCAAACCAGTTCTGGCCAATCGGGGCCAAGTGAAAACACATGCTTCAGGTTGACAAAATCAGATGCATGGCCCGTGGAACTCCTCCTCTTCTCCTCCTCGTCCTCCTCCTCCTTTTCCTCTTCCTCCTCCTCCTCCTCCTCCCCCTCTTTCTCCTCCTCCTCCTCCTCCTCCTCCTCCTCACCACCACCACCACCACCACTCCTCCTCCCCATTCCCCCTCCTCCGCGAGAAAGAGCTGCACGAGATGGGTGACTACAAGACGGCGAAGAGCATGGGGGATAAACAATCGGCGTACCTAAAGGCGCTGAACTTCGTGGACAAGTGGAGCGACAACATGCAGATGTTCAACATATGCAGGAGGAACACAGGATGGGACGAAAAGAAGGGCGGAGCCTGCTCGTGCTGGCCTGCCTTCCCAAACAAGTTGTGGCGGAAAGGCCCCAACCCCAACTCGAGAGGGGAAAAATGGCAGTTCTGGTGCAAAGTGGACTGGTCGCAACTCGTCAAGGCGCAGGAGAGCCACCCAGAATATGAGTTCATGAAAGAGTGGGTGAACAAAATGAAGGGCGAGTTCGGCGCTGACCGTGATGGGTGGCCAGACATCCGGTGCAAGTCGAAGTTCCTCCGTTCAAGAGCGGGCCGCCAATGGTGGTGGAGCTCAAGGTGGGAAATGGCTGGGAAGCGCTCGTAGCGGAAAGGCTGCCGCAGCAGCTAGACGACGCCAACCAGGAGTGCCACTACAGTTCTACGACGCCGCACAGAAAATGAGCCCAAAGGAGCTCTTCGAGCTGATCCCCGTGTCCTTCCCGATGACGCACGAGGTTAAAGGTTGCGATATCATCGCAAGGCATCTTGTGGACGCGTGGGAAAGGCTGGGGGGAAGGCCTTCACTGTGCACAGCTGGTGCGAGCTGGCGCTGAAGAGTTCGAAGAATGACGAGGGAACCCCCACAAAGTCATGAAGGTCGCCTTGAAGGAGCTGAATAACGAGGACAACTCCGACCCAGAGGAAGTGAAAAGGCTCAAAGAGCGCCACAAGCTACGAGACAGCACGCAGACCCTGCTGGATGGTACCGAGATGTTCGAAGAAAGGTTCGCCTACCCCAAGTCGGAGGAGACGACGACGGCCAGCTCCTCCAGCGGCCACCAGTGAGAGCACCCACTGGAGCCCACTGGAAAGCAAGGAGATGCGTTAGCAAGGTTTTCTCTGAGTGTTACTCTGGGAAAGCTGGACGAGCCCACTGGCAAAGCCACGGGACGCATTAGCGAGGTTATCTCGGAGTGCTACTTTAGGCAAACGGGACGGGC